TTATTCGAACAATTATTTTTTTACCTATTTCCATCTCAGATCGGTTTCGCTTGTAATGATTAACAGAGTAACGTGAATGCAGATCGCTAGCACGGAGTTTTCTTCGGAACCAACTCGAACACGGCTGGATGTCGGACGTCTGGGGATGCAATTTAAAAAGGCTAGGAGGCAACTCCGCGCTGCTGAGTTGCTTGTTCGTGATAAAACATTCATCGTCCCTTGTTTTCTTTTGTTTCGTACAGAAGTCCCCGTGAAGTTTTCAGTATTAGGAGCTAGCTCATATGTAGGTGAGGTAATGATGATGTGGATGGTGCTAGATCTATTACTTCAGCTTGGAATACGCTGAGAAGCTTTTAAATTGCGGTTCGTTTATGGTGAGCGATGTGAACTTAAACCCAACGATTTTTTTTCCTCCGTGATGTCCAGATGCGGTGTCAACAAACAACCACCATCATTTCGTGCGTTTTGGTATCAGAATTTCTTTTTCTTTTAATCGCCCGAGGCTTGATTTACGGATTATATTTATTTTCGGACTTTTTTCTTCTAATTCTCGACATCCCGAGCCCGAGAGCGCTGTAGTGCAAAGGCCAGGACATGCTAAGCGTAGGTTGGACGGCGAGGCTGTGGCTGTGATTATCAATAATTGGCAGCATCGCCACAGCACCAGGACGACGCTAAATGCCAGCGCTCGCCACAATTCCAATTATTTTCTCTCGTTTCGTCTCCCCGGGGCTGGATTTGGAGTTAGCAAAGCATTGATGATTTAGCGCGTATTTTTTCCCGGGCTCTGGGAAAAGAAACAAGAGATAAAGTGTGCCATGGGATCTTGTGCATAAATGTAATAAAAGCGTTGTACATCCGCTTAGCGTGTACCCTCGGGCGGCGTTGTCATGGCAACCAGAGAACTGAGCGCTGATTGGTCGGACGATATTTGACGTGCTTGGGGATTGGCCCGAGGGAGGTCGCCGTGAGATGCGACTCTCACCCTTATGGCATGAATTTTTTACAGCCGTCTGTGGTTCTCTATGGATATGTTCGTATACACCTTTTTTCGACCATTTCTTTATGTCTTGAAAACATATTTCACACCATAAATCTTTTTAAAAAAAGCAGAGAAATTATTTAATCCACCAGTCGGAAAGGCGATGTGTTAGGTAATTACGAAATAATCGAAAATATTTTGCAAGGAAATTTGCTATTTGGCGACTCTAGCGCAGTAGGCCCAAGAAATTATAATTTTGACATTTCCAAATATCACTATTTCTTTCTCTCTATCTTCATTTTCTTTTCGTACAGGGTAGCATCCATTCTCGATTTCATTTCTATCCGAGAAAGTTTAGATGTTCGTGGTATTAAAGCGGGGGAGGGAATTTGGTTTTGGGTTATGCAATGGAGACAACGGTGCAACTTGCAGTGCCGAGTGGGTTGACGTCCTTGCAAATTATCAAGACATCAGTATTATCAGGTGTTGGTAAATGATGGCAGTGTTGTGGTTATTATTTTTGTTGATAGTTATCGGTGTTGCTTTCATTGCAGTTGCTGATATCATGTTTTTGTTTTTTGTCATTGGTTTGATTACTGTTATTGTTATGATTATTGTTGTTATTATTCTTCGTGTTTTGTTATGGTTTTTGGTGTTATTGTTATTACTACTACTACGACTACTGCTACTATTAATGTTTTATTGTTATTATTATTACTATAACTATTATTTTTTATCAACGATAATGATATGACGATAAAGCTAATGCCATCACAGTTATCATTAATGTTTCTAATCATGGTGATAGTAACGATGTTTAGTAATGATGTTGGTGGGATGAGTATCGCGTTAAACATTAATAAAAGATTATGATACCGATACGTGAGTTTACCCTATTAGATACACATCCCGTTTTCTTTGCTTTCGATGCATCGTCTCCGTTTTCGTCGATTGTGTATTCCTGCGGCTTTCCATATATATTATTTAACGAGAGAGAGAGAGAGAGAGAGAGAGAGAGAGAGAGAGAGAGAGAGAGAGAGAGAGAGAGAGAGAGAGAGAGAGAGAGAGAGAGAGAGAGAGAGGGGGTCGGGTGATGGTGGGGGATGAGGGTCGGTACACAGACACCTGCATACAAAATACATCTATTTCTGCATACGCATCTGCCTGCCAATCTATATACCGGCCTCCAGCTCTGTGCTGAATTTTCCAATTCAGTTTCGTCCCTTAGTTTATCATGCCACGGTGAAACACACGCTCACACACGCGCTCACTCGCTCACTCACTCACTCTTTCATTCTTACTCATTCTCACTCACTTTCATTCTTACTCTTACTCACTCATTCTTATTCACTTTCACTTACTCATTCTCATTCTCTCACTCACTCACGCACACACATCACACACACACACGCACACACACACACACACACACACACACACACACACACACACACACACACACACACACACACACACACACACACACACACACACAACACACACACACACACACACACACACACACACACACACACACACACACAACACACACACACACACACACACACACACACACACACACACACACACACACACACACACACACACACACACACACACAACACTGAGCTGCAGGCGGCGCGGCGCTGGGTGCAGACAGTCCGTGGGAGTGCAGGCCAGACAGGTACACTTAGGCCCACCTGTCAATCATGCAAGAACACAGACCTGTTGTGCGGCGAGCGAGAGGAAGGGGGTGGGGAGAGGAGGAGGAGGGAGGAGGGAGAGGAGGAGAGTCAAAGGAGGGAGGAGGGGTGGGGGGAGGGGAAGGGAGGAGACGAGGAGAGTCAAAGGAGGGAGGAGGAGGGGGAGGAAGGAGAGTCAAAGTATGGAGGAAGAGAAGGGGAGGAGGGAGAGGTGGGGTGGGATGGGAGAAGGGAGAGGAGAGAGAAGGGAGGAAGAGGGTGGGGGCGGGATAGAAGAGAAAGGAGGGAAGACTGAGAGGGGAGGAGAGAGAAGGGAGGGAGGAGAGGGTGGGGCTGGGATGGAAGAGGAGGGAGAGAGGAGAGGAGAGGAAAACAATAGAAGGGGATAGAGTGAGAGAGGAGGGAATGGAGAAGGGGTAGTGTGGGGGAGAATGCGAGGGAGAAGAGGAGGAGAGAGAAGAGTGGAAAAGGAAGGATTGGAAGGAAATGTAAAGGACATGATATTGATTGTTTCCTTTCTGCGTCCTCTTCATCTCCCTTTCCCTTTTCTCCCTTTCTTCCTCCTGTGTGTGCGTGTGAGCGTGTTTATTTGTTTGCTTGGTTCCTTGCTTATTTACATATGCGTGCGTGTTTACTCATTTTAGGTAAGAACGTATATGCATACGTAGATCTTCATGCTTGAATATAGAGGCCTACCTACATACAGGCCCACATACATACATAGACCTACATGAATTCATACATAGGCCTACACACATGCATACATTACATACATACATACATGAATACATATATAAACACACAAACCTACATGCAGAAGAAGAAGAAGAAGAAAAGGGAGGTCGGAGGTGGAGGAGGAGGAGTAAAACAGGGAAGAGGAGGTTTGCGATAAGGGGTAGGGGGAGGAGGAGGAGGGGAGGGGAGGGGGAGGGAAAGGAGGAATATAAGAAGGAAGAGGAGGCTGGGGAGAGGGAAAGGGGGGATGGGGGAGGGGAATCTCTTAATGATGCCGGCCTGATGGTGTTTGATGTTTATGCCATAAAATATATACCTCTCGTTCGTTTTTTCTTTACTCTCTCTCTCTCTCTCTCTCTCTCTCTCTCTCTCTCTCTCTCTCTCTCTCTCTCTCTCTCTCTCTCTCTCTCTCTCTCTCTTCTCTCTCTCTTCTCTCTCTCTCTCTCTCTCTTCTTCTTTCTATATATTTCTTCGTTCATTCATTTTTATTCTTTTTTACTTCCCTATTTGCGTTTCTATATTATTATAAAATTATTATTGTTATTTTTTTGTTATTGATATGATCATGACCATCATCGTCATTATGTTTGTTTGTTTTTTTATTCTTCCTTCATTCTTCTATTATTTTCCTTGTTTTTCTATTTGTATTTTTATTTACTTTTAATTTTTCTTATCCTTCCTTTATTTCGTCCATTTTTTATTTTTCTTTGTCTTTTCTCTTATTTTCTTTGTTTTCTTCGTCCTTTCTTTCCTTCTTTTCTCTCTTTTCTTCGTATTTTTTCATCCTCAACTTCTATCACTTTCTTTCCCTCTTCCTTCCATGTTTTCCTTCATTCATTCTTTCTTTTCAGTCTTATTGGCCTCCCTTTCCTTCCTCCATTCATTCCTATTAACCGCATCTTCCTTCCTTCCTTCTTACCTTTCTTCATTCAAATTAAGCGCCCCTTCTTTCCGCAGGTGCGTGTGTTCCTGTCTAGACCAGTATTTTTATCAATCCTTTTTTTCATTCCTACCTTCCTTCATTCACATTGACCGTTCCTTCCTTCCTTCATTCATCCACATTAACCGTCCCTTCTTCCCGTAGGTGTAGGTGTACCTTTCCCTTCCTTCCTTCATTCATTCATTCTTATTAACTGTCCGTTCTTTCTTCTTCTTCATTCATTCATTCTTATTAACCGTCCCTTCTTTCCTTCATTCATTCACCCATTCATTATTTTTTTATTGTCCCTTCTTTCCTTTCTTTCCTTCCTTCACTAATTCATTTATTCATCCCTTCCTTCATTCACACTAAATGGCCTTTCTGCCTTTCCTAAATTCCTTCCTTCCTTCCTTCATTCATTCATTCAAATTAACCGGCCCTTCTTTCTTTTCTAAATTCCTTCCTTCCTTCAAATTAACCGGCCTTTCTTTCTTTCCTAAATTCCTTCCTTCCTTCCTTCAAATTAACCGTCCCTTCTTTCCTTCCTTCCTTCCTTCAAATTAACCAGCCCTTCTTTTCCTTCCTTCCTTCTCAAATTAACCGCCCTCTTTCCTTCCTTCCTTCTTCCTTCATTCCCATTAACCGGCCCCTCTCTCGGCAGGTGTGTGTGTTCCTGAGTAGACCATGAGCGAGGACACGGACGCAGCGACCCAGCAGCACGGCCAGACCTCGGATATAGCGCAGCATCACCATCCCCAGACCACCACCCTCGTCACCATGCAGGCCGCACCCGCAGGCCAGCCTATTGTGCCGCAAGTGTCGCCGCAGGTGAGTTTTTTTTTTTTTTTGCGTGCGGGAGAGTTGGAGTTTTGTGTGTGAGAGAGGGTGTCTTTTTGTCTTTGTTTTCTGTTTGTTTTTGTTTCTTTATGTTTCTTTTTTTATTTTTTTTTTTTTTTTTTTTCATCTCTTCTCCTCCTCCTCCTCCTCCTCTCCTGTTTCGTTTCTTCTTCTTCCTCTGTTTTTTTTTCCGTCGGGTTCTGGCTCAACAGCTTTTGTTTTCTTTTTTCCTTTCATTATTGTGCCTGTGTTTCGTCTTTGTGTTTGTTGGGACCTCCCTCCCCCTCCCTCCTCCCTCCCTACCTCTCTCTCTCTCTCTCTCTCTCTCTCTCTCTCTCTCCTCTCTCTCTCTCTCCTCTCTCCTCTCTCTCTCTCTCTCTCCTCTCTCCCTCTCTCCCTCTCTCCCTCTCTCCCTCTCTTCTCTTTCTGCTTTCCTCCCTTTTTCGCTCTTTCTCTGTCTGTGTCTGTCTGCCTACACGGCCCCTTTGTATACCAATTTGTACCTGGAGTGCTCCTGACACTGGGACCTCGTCGTTCCGCTCCTTCCATCCCCTCTTCCTCCACCCCTTCCCCCTTCCCTCCATCCTTTCCCTTCTTTTCCCCCTTTCTTCCCGCTTTTTTTTGCCTTCCTCCCCCTTTCCTATCCCCTTCTTTCGCTCCCACTTTCCCATTCCTCCCTCCCCTTTTCCTTCTCCTCCTTATCTTCCTTCTTTTCCCCCTTTCACCCCTTCTCCATCTCCCCTCTTCTTCCTTTTATTTCTCTTCCTCCTTTCCCCCTTTTCACCCCTTCTTCTACTTCTCCATCTCTTCCTTCTCCTTCCCCTTCTTCTTTCTTTCCCTTTTCACCCCTGCTTCTTTTCCCTCTTCTCTTCTCCTTTCCACCCTTTCTCCTTCTCCTACTTTTCCCCCCTTTAACCCCGTCTCCTCTTCCCCTTCCTTCTCATTCTCTTTCTTTCCCCCCTTTTCACCCTTCTCTTTTTTCTTTTCTTCTTCCTCTTCTTTTTCTTTCTTTTTTCATTTCTTTTCGTTCTTCTTTTCTTCTTTCTTTCTTCTTCTCTTCTTCTTCTTTTTTCTTCTTCTTCTTCTTCTTCTTCTTCTTCTTCTTCTTCTTCTTCTTCTTCTTCTTCTTCTTCTTCTTCTTCTTCTTCTTCTTCTTCTTCTTCTTTCCCCCTTTCACCCCCCCCCCCCGCCTCCCCTCTGCTTTGGCATTTTCGTGGCTTCTTTCTTAGTACTTGTGAGTGACTCGGCTGTCAACCCAAGTTATAGTCTGTTTGTCTGTCTGTTTTTGTTTGTCTCTGTGTTTTTTGTTTGTTTGTCTGTTTACTTGTATGTCTGTTTTGTGTGTCTGTCTGTTGTTTGTTTGTCTGTCTTGTTTATTTGACTGTCTGTTGTTTGTCTGTTTATTTGTCTGTATGTTGTTTGTTTTGTTTATCTTGTTTGAGACAGAGAGGACTTGGAGTAATAAGCGTGTGGATATGTTGATAGATTTATAGATATATAGGATATAGATATAGGTATAGATATTTGATATTTTATGATTATGCAGGCACACACACACACACACACACACAGCACACACACACACACACACACACACACACACACACACACACACACACACACACACACACACACACACACACACACACACACACACACACACACACACACACACACACACACACACACACACACACACACACACACACACACACACACACACACACAGAGTATATAACACAGACTTCCTTATCAGCTGTTACTTCTTATCAGATAATCTCTCGGCGACAAGCCAGGCACTTGTTTTTCCTTGTCCACTAATTAAAAACAAACGATTAGCTATTCAGTATATTTTCATTAATTCGTAAATTATTGTTTTTTTTTACATTTATTTATTTGTTTATCCGATCAGCCAGCCATTTTTCATTTTTTGTCTTGTCTGTCTGTCTGTCTGGTTGGTTGTACGTCCTTCGTGGCTTCTTTTCATGTGTTGGGTTAATAGTTCATCCATCCATCCTTCGAACTATTTATCCATCACATCTATCCATCGACCTACCTATCCACTTTGCCTTCTATCCATCCAATTACCCATTAAACTATCTTTCTTCCTTAAATTTTGCCATCCACTCATCCACCTATTCACTCATGCGCCCATCCTCCTCGCCATCCACCTCTTCAATCCATCATCCACTCATGCCTGCATCCACTCATCCATCCACCCTCCTTCCCATCCATCTACCCATCCACCTTGCCATCCATCCATCCATTCCCCCTATCCATCATCCACTCGTGCGCCCATCTATCTATCCATCCATCCATCCACTCACCCAACCAGCCACCAATCCATCCATCCATCCTCTAATCCACCCATCCACCCTGCCACCACCTCTTCCAATCCATCGTCCACTCATGCTTGCATCCACTCATGCCTTATCCACTTTGCCGCCGGCCGCCATTCTCTCCGTCTATTCATCTATCCGTCCATCTCTCCGGTCTATCCGCCTTATCCACTTTGCCAGCCGTCCATCTCTCCGTCTATTCATCTATCCGTCCATCTCTCCGTCTATTCATCTATCCGTCCATCCAATCATTCATCCATCCATCCAATCCCATCATCACCTCGACCCTGCATCCACTCATCCACCCAATCGAGAATCCACTCTTCCAATCGGTTCCCGCAGCTTGCTAACCAAATAAGCTTGATGCAATAACGCCAATTTAAATGCTGTCCATTTTTGCTTTTCCTTTTTCTTCTTTTATCATTTCTTTGTTTTTTCCTTTTTTTCTTTTTATTTTTATTTTATTTTTTTTCGTTTCGTGTTTTTGTTTTATAAGAGAAGAGGAAAATAGGAATTTGATTTTTCTTCTTTATAATATATGATATATAATTTATAATATATATCTATATCTATCTATCTATCTATCTAATTAATATATATATAATATATATATATATATATATATATATATATATTATATATATAATATATGTATATATATGTATTATATATAATATGTATGTATATATATATATATAATGTATATATATATAATGTATGTATATATATATATGTATATATATATATATATATATATATATATATATATATATATATATATATATATATATATATATATATATATATATGTATGTATGTATGTATGTATGTATGTATGTATTTCTCTCTCTCTCTCTCTCTCTCTCTCTCTCTCTCTCCTCTCCTCCCTCCCTCCCTCCCTCTCCCTCCCTCCCTCCCTCCCTCCCTCCTCCTCCCTCTCCCTCCCTCCCTCCCTCTCCCTCCCTCCCTCCCTTCCCTCCCTCTCTCTCCTCTCTCCTCTCTCCTCTCTCTCTCTCCCTCCCTCCCTCCTAACCTTCACCTTTCTTTTTTTTGCTTCGGTTTTTTCCATTTATCGTCATCTTTGTTTTCTTTGTATCTTTATCTCAGTTGATTTCTTTTCTTTATTTCTTCGGCTTTGTTTTTTTTCTTTCTTTCTTCCCATCTTCATCTCTTGGTTCCTTTCTTCCTTTCTTTATCATCTCTTGCTTTTTTCACATCCAGTTTCTGTCTTTCCTTTCATTTCCTGTTTCTTTCTTCCTTTCTTTATCCCCTTCGCTTTCTATCATTCTCCCTTTCTGCATCCCCTTCGCTTTCTTCCTTTCTTACTTCCTTCCTTTCTTACTTCCTTCCCTTAGATTTTTCCTTCTCTTTCTCTCTCTCTCTTCATTCCTTTCACTTTCTCTGTTCATCATCTACGCTTTCCTCCTTCCCCTTCTTGTCGTATTGTTCTCGTCTCGTCCGCCCTCCCCTCCCTTTTACTCATCAGCCCCGCCCCCTTTTTACTCATCAGCCCCCCTTTTTACTAATCAGCCCCCCCCTTACTCATCCCCCCCCCTTTTTCACGACCCCCGTTTACTCATTCCCCTTATTAACAGCCTCCTTTACTCATAGACCTCCTTACTCACCGCCCCCTTACTACCGCCCCCTTACTCACCTTCCCCCTTACTCACCGCCCCCCCTTACAGCCCCTTACTCACCGCCCCCTTACTTACAGCCCCCTTTTAACCGCCCCTTACAGCCCCTTACTCACCGCAGCCCCCTTACTCACCGCCCCCCTTACTTACAGCCCCCTTACTCACCGCCCCCTTCTGCCCGCAGGTCGCACAGCAGCAGGGCGTCCCGCAGCCGGGGATGACGCAGGTGATGCAGCAGGCGCCGCAGACGGCCCACTCGCCCCACGGGGTCACGACCTCGATGCCCCCGCAGTCACAACAGGTCAGTTGCCTTCTTGTATTCTCGCGCTCGCTCTCGCTTTTCTAAGGTCTCTCTCTCTCTCTCTCTCTCTCTCTCTCTTCTCTCTCTCTCTCTCTCTCTCTCTCTCTCTCTCTCTCTCTCTCTCTCTCTCTCTCTCTCTCTCTCTCTCTCTCTCTCTCTCTCTCTCTCTTTTTAGGGTATGTTATTTTCTGTTAGTCTCTTTTTTGCTTCCTTTTCTTTAATAAATTTCTTTTTGAGATTTTCCTCCTAGTTTACTTTTTTCCTATCCACTGGCCTCGCATCTACCCTCTCTCCGTCCTTCTTCCTGCTCCCACCCTATCTATTTCTCCTTTCTCTTTCAATCTACCTCTCCATCTCTTGCTTCTCCCTCTCTCTCTTTCAGTCTACCTCTCCATCTCTTGCTTCTCCCTCTCTCGACCTGCCTCTGTCTCTCCCTCTTCCTCCACCTCTGCCTCCTTCTCTCCTCCTCCCTTCCTCTCCCTCTCCCTCTCCTCTCCTCTGCATCTGCCTTCCGCTCTCCTCTCTCCCCTTCCATCCTCCCCCTCCCCTTCCCCTCCTTCCTTACCTTCTTCCCCCTTTCCTTCTCCATTCCTCCCCCCTCTCCTCCTTTCCTCTCCCCTCTCCTTCTCCCTTCCTCCCCCATCTTCTCCTCCCTTCCTTCCCCCTTTCTCCGTCTTCCTTCCTCCCCCATCTCCTCCTCCCTTCCTCCCTTTCTCCCTTTCTCCTCTCCTCTTCCATCCTCCTCCTCCCTTCCTCCCCCATCCCCTCCTCCCTTCCTCCCACCCTCTCTCCTTCGCTAACCATGGCGCGCCTCGCTTTTTCTCGCGATGCCTGATTGTCTACTTTTCTTGCATTCTCGTTTTTTTCCTCTCTTTTTCTCTCTCTCGGTGTTGTGTTTCTTGCACCGATATGGACAAGTGCTCATAACGCTTATATTTAGCTCTCCGCCTGTCTACCTGTTTAAGTTTACGAGCCTTCTGCAGGGGACGGTGTGTAAACAGGAGCCGTGTTTGTTTCTTTTCTGCCTCTGTCTTCGCCTCCTCCTCCATGCCAGCCCTTTACTCATTTTCTCGCTTCTCCACCTTTGGGTCATTTCTCCTTCTTTTCCTGCTGCTCCTTCCTTCTCCTTCTCCGTTTCCTCTTTTTCCACTTTCACCCTCCTCCTCCCCCCTTCCTCCTCCTCCCTCCCCCTTCCTCCTCCTCCTCCCTCCTCCTCCTCCTCCTCCTCCTCTCCTCCTCCCCCTCCTCTCCCCCTCTTCCTGGTCCCCAACACCCCCTTCCTCTCCCCCAACCTTCCTCCTCCTCCCTTCCCCTTTCTCCATTTCCTCCTCCTCCTCCTCCTCCTCCAGCTCCCTCGTTCCTGGTTCCCAACTCCCCCCTTCCTCCTCCTCCCCCCTTCCTCCTCCCCTTCCTCCTCCTCCCCTCCTCCTCCTCCCCTTCCTCCTCCTCCCCTTCCCCTTTCTCCTCCTCCTCCTTCCTCCTTCCTCTCCTCCTTCCTCCTTTCCCTCCTCCTCCCTCCTTCCTCCTCCCCCTCCTTCCTGGTCCCCAACAGCGTTCTCTCCCCAAGCTTCTCGCCTTAATTAAGGTTTCTTCACTCTCTTTATATCGTTTTTCCTTTCCGCTTTTTTATTTTCTTCTATTTTGTTTGTCCCCTTCGTCCGCCTATTTATTATTATGTGCATTTTTTTCATCATTATTTTCCGTCGCTGTTCCACTTTCCCGTTGATCTCCCTCCTCCTATGCTCTCTTTCTCCCTCTCCCCTCTCCCTCTCCCTCTCCCTCTCCTTCTCCCTCTCTCCCTCTCCCTCTCTCCTCTCTCTCCCTTCTCCCCTCTCTCCCTCTCCCTCTTCTCCCTCTCCCTCTCCCTCTCTCCTCTCTTCCCTCTCCCCTCTCCCTCTCCCTCTCCCTCTCCCTCTCCTCTCTCTCTCTCTCTCTCTCTCTCTCTCTCTCTCTCTTCTCTCTCTCTCCTCTCTCTCTCTCTCTCTCTCTCTCCTCTCTCTCTCTCTTCTCTCTCTCTCTTCTCTCTCCTCCCCCTCCCCCTCCTCTCCTCTCTCTCTTCTCTCTCTCTCTCTCTCTCTCTCTCTCTCTTCTCTCTTCTCTCTCTTTCTCTCTCTCTCTCTCTCTCTCTTCTCTATCTCTTCTCTCTCTCCTCTCTCTCTCTCTCTCTCTCTCTCTCTCTCTCTCTCTCTCTCTCTCTTCTCTCTCTTCTCTCTCTCTCTCTCTCTCTCTCTCTCTCTCGCTCTCTCTCTCCCTCCCTCCCTCCCTCCCTCCCTCCCTCCCTCCCTCCCTCCTCCTCCCTCCCTCCCTCTCCCTCCCTCCCTCCCTCTCTCTCTCTCTCTCTCTCTCTCTCTCTCTCTCTCTCTCTCTCTCTCTCTCTCTCTCTCTCTCTCTCTCTCTCTCTCTCTCTCTCTCTCCTCTTTCTTCCCCCTCTCCACCCTCTCCCTCTCTCCCTCTCTCCCCTCTCTCCCTCTCTCTCCTCCTCTTCCCCCTCAGCCCTTCCCTTCGCCTCTTCCTACACTTTTCTCGTTTATTCCCGGGTTCCCTCGCCCTCTTGGCCGCCCCCACGCTGTCACTGGGAGGACAATCCCACATGTTTCCCGGACTGACCCTTCATTCCCCCTCACCCCCTCACCCCCTTACCCCCTTACCCCCTTACCCCCTTACCGACAATCCCCTCCCTTCATGGCTCCTTTCTTCCTCTTCCTCTTTGCCCTCTTCCCCGCCTCCTCTCCTCCTTTCATCTCTCCTCTTCCCTCCTCACTTCACCTCCTCCTCTCCTCCTCCTCCTCCTCCACCTTCCCTCCTTTCATCCTCCTCCTCTTTACCTCCCTCCTCCTCCTTCTCTCTCCTTCATCCTCCTCCTTCCTCCTTCCTCCTCCTCCTCCTTCTCCTCCCCTCCTCCATTCCTCCTCTCCTTTTCATCCTCCTCTTCTTCCTCCTTTCCTCCTTCCTCCCTCCTCCTTCATCCTTCCTCCTCCTCCCCTCCTCCTCCTTCCTTCCTCCTCCACCTTCTTCCTCCTCTTCCACCTTCTCCTCCCTCCTCTCCTCCTCCTCCTCCTCGCTCCTTCTTCCCCCCCCCTCCTTCTCCTCCTCCTTCCTCCTCCCTCCCCCTCCTCATCT